CAGGTTGAGGAGAAGACAAAATAGAGAGAACAGTAAATCCGTAAGCACTGACCAAGTCGGACAAGTGATTTAAGCTGTTGTTTTCGGTAAGCCACCCGGAAACGCCATAATTTATTTTTCGGGGAAACTGATTAATGAGAGAGGAGCACATGGACACGATAACTGCCACTCAAGGCATGGAAAAAGCAAGATAGACATGTAGTTTTTTTTAAAGAAGAGTTTTACGGCACTTGCAATACAATAAGGTCATATAAGTGCCGAAGAATAGATGTGTTACAAGAGAGTAACACACACAAAAAAGAAGGGAGGAGAGATAAGGACGATATATGTTTGGGAGGAAAGGAGGAGCAAACTACACCAGAGCACCCACAAACCACCCACAGACATGCAGAAAGGCTACGGGAAAATGTGAAATGGTATAGGATTAACGCCTCTATCAACACTATTATGTTATTTAAGAGGTGGGAGCTCCGAGTCTAATGCCCATCTCCGAAAGAACCGAGACAAACAGAGCATTCGAGTAAAGTGCATTTCCCAAGGGCACAAAGCCGGACCGAGCTAAGGCTCGAACCAAATACTACAGGGATTAGGAAATGAAAAAAAATGGTGAAATGGTGTAGGCTTAACGCCCCTATCAACACTATTAGGTTATTTAAGAGACGGGACCTCCGAGTTTAACGTCCATCTTCAAAAAGACCAAGCCAAGTAGGAAATTCTTGTAAAGTGCTTCTCCCAGGGATACAACGTCAGACAGAGCTGAGGCTCGAACCCCGGAACCCGCAATCTCACGATTACGAGTCTGGTAGCCTCATCACTAGGCCACAGACGCCACGCTGATTGAGATCTTAGAAGCACAAAGAAAAAAGACAGAAAGACGACACCATTACGCACACTGAATGTTCTTAATGAGAGAAGAGGGAGAAGGAAGGATGAAAACTTTAGAACTTCATTAAAAAAAAATATGTAGGGTATTCTACCTCCTCATTGAAACAATTTTAAACATTTATTTACGAGCTAGATTCCGACCCTGTGTGTCAGTGTCAACCCGACGTGAGAGGGATACACCGTCCCCGCAGAAAAACAACAACCGACATACGCGATAGACATTCTAACTTTGTTTTAATCAAGCACATCGACGGACATTCCGTGCAGGGAAAAAGCAAGATATAAGGAGAGACACATTACAAATACAGAAAAGAAGTAGGAACTACAAGTGCCACCCTCCAACTATCTGCAATCGAAAGTGAACCATGACCGAATATTAAGACAGGAAAATGGTGAGCTGTATCAAGTTACAAACTCTGGGGGAAGGGAGAGGGAGAGAGAGAG